CAAAGGTATTTGGAAATGTACAGTTTCTCTTTACAACCTATAAATGGAAAGAAACTGTGGCCAGTTGCACAGGGTTATGCTATTCTGCCCCCTCCTTTTAAAAGGATGCCAAGAAGGCCAAAGAAAAAAAAGGAGAAGAGATGCTGAGGAAGAAATAAATTATGGGACTAAGTTGAGGAGTTTTGGGATGGTTATGACTTGTCAGAGATGTTTCAAAAGAGGGCACAATAAAAAATCATGTTCTAATCCTCAAGTTGAAAACAACCAAAGGTTAGAATTTCTAGCTAAATTGATATTTATTTCTCTTGTGATATATATATATATTAATCTCAATTTATTTTTTCTTGTCAGAATCCAAGAGAAGGCATAAGAAGATTGTTAGACCACAACAACCGCAGACAACAGCTCAAATGACAACATCAGTGTCAAGAATGCAGTCAAGCCAACAGTCAAGAATGCAGTCAAGCCAACAGTAATCTTTGACTCAAAAGGAAAGAGCTATGGTAATACAATTTTGTTTTATTGCAGTTTTATTGAATTTTTTATGGTGTATCATGTTCACTTTCTAACTATATGTTGTTATACCTGTTTTTAGGCAAGAAAGGGTTTTGGTATCCTTCAGTCTGAGGAGACTGGTAATACCTTCATGAGAGTATGTTTCTTACCTGAATTTATTTATTTTCTATATTTGTCATTTTTCCAATATCATGTATAAAAATCAGCGTTCCTTTAATTATGAATTATTATTTGAGATGTCATATATGCAGTTGTCATCAGAAAAAAGGGTTCATGTCATTTCTGGGAGAGGTGGTAGTTCTAGCAACTCTAGAGGCAAGAGGAAAATTCAGATGGGAAGGAAGAGAACTGAGGATGCTTTAGGTACTCAAGAAAGTGTTTCTCGCAAAGGATGATAGGTAGTGATGCAACAGTTTGTGATTGCCTTATGCAGTTGTAATTGTTTAGAATGTTTTGTGCTTATGATGTTAGTGTCTGTTAGGTTGCCCGTTTTGTTGTTATGCAGTTGTGGTTTAGAATGGTTTATGCAGTTGTGATTGGTTATGATGTTAGTGTTGGTTAGGTTGTTAGCTTGTGTTTGTTGTGCAGTTGGAATGCTTTCTATCTTTTTTATGTTCTGAACAATGCTTTATATCTTTTGGTGTGTTTTGAACAAAGCTTATTGAAACGTTTATAAATCTGTGTGTTGGTGTTATATTTTTTCTATTGGAATGATGTATCTGTTTTAGGAAAATCTTTGAAGCCTCCTTATATACTTATATTGGGTTTGGGTGTAGAATTATGTTTACTTAAGATGCTTTAACATAGTTCATATCACTTAACTACATTGCACTGATCTTAGGTTCAATACATTGCAATAATCTTAGGTCAAAAAAAAAAAAATGATTCCATTAATTCATAGGTTCAATACATCAACCATAACATAGGAAAACATTCAAATCAACATTTTAAGCCCCTCAATATGGTCATGCTTTCCAAGCAAACTAAGAACAAAAAATAGTACAACCACATATAACAAAAACATAACAACATTCAACTACATTTCCAGTTTTTGCATGAGGGCCAATGTATTTGGCAGAACCAAAACAACTTCTTTATTTTTCTGAACTTCGTCTACAAGATCATTCAATTCGTGTTGAAACTCACTGGCTTGGTCCATGAATTCATCTTTTTCCACTGCCCTTTCATTGTACATTTTCTCCAACGCAATATTTCGTCTCAACTGCTCTTCCAATGACTCATTCTGAGATTACAATCGTAAAAAATAAGATTTCTGGAAATTGGGAAGTGCAGGATCAATCCACTCGAAGAATTTGCAGTCATCTTGTTGCTAAATATTGAAAATTGAAAAAATTAGGGTTATAGAAATTGGGGTTTTTTTAAGAAATTAGGGGTTTTGAACAAATTAGGGTCCTAAGAGAGTAAAATCGAGAACGGATGATGAAACCGGTGTCATCCCCTTGCTCGATTCAAAATCGAAAAAATTAGGGTTTACAGAAATTGTTTTTTTTTTAAGAAATTAGGGTTCTAAAGTGTAAAATCGATAAGTTAAATTACGAGCTCACCTTTCTCATCGGACACCTGTAGAACCTCCCACATGGATTATCAAACATCATGGTGGTAAAAACGTTGGGTTCCTTGCAGTGGCGGCAGACCTTCTTCACAGGAAAGCTTCTTCCGGAACTCTGGCTTGCGCGAGATGAAGACGACATCTTCAAACAAATCACGAGAGAGAGCAATATTCTGCAATAAATCAATTTTTTTCGAAGTGTAAAGTTGGGAATTTAGGGATTCAGATTTTGGGAATTTAAGGATTGGAAATGGGGCAATTGAAATGACGGGTTGTATGAATTTATACCCACATAAAGGTGATTTATCCACATGTTTAATGAAAATCCATGCGGAAATCCAAAAAATCCACGCAGAAATCAAAAAAATCCACGTCGATGTAAGCTGCTGGACACGCTGGCGGTTTTTGAAGGTCCGACCGGTGTAAGGTTCCGAATTGAAATTAGTAAACTGAGGTCGAGATTAAAAATACATTTACCTAAAGGTCGGGATAGACATGCAAAACGAAAAAAGGTTGAGGTTTTGTAAGCAATTAACCCATTAAAGTTACATGTTTTGTTGATAATTGAGATATATTATAGTTTTGATAATCTCATAAAATATCCATCACATATTTTTAATTATATTATCTATGTAAAGAAACTAGTTAGTCACCAAAGTGGCCTAGTTTAATTTATGGTATAGATAATCAAAATTAGATAAAAGTGTTGATTATTCAAATATCAAAGAATGCCTTATTAATGCCTCTTAAATTATATATTTGGATAATTTATGTCATGGATTATAAATCAGGAGGACACCCAAAGGTGGGCCATGTGTTTATAGTTTGTGACAACTAAAAGAGAATTTATAATTAGAGTTAGATCAATTCATGCGTTTGTCCAAAGACAACCTCTACTTGATCATAATTATATAATTTTTATTACGGATAAAATATTTAAAAGAGAAGTTATACTTAAAGTGATGTTAATTAGCGTGTATGTCCAAATATAGCCGCTAGTTGACTCAAGTTTGTATAATCTCTATCAAGGATTAATGTATAAAGAGAAATTATGATTAAAGTTAGGTTAATTAGTGTGTTTGTCCAATGATAACCACTAATTAATCACAAGACCCTATAATATTTGTTAAATAGCTTTTCTCTTAGGCATCAATCAAATATATTATATATTTAAGTATTACCCAAAGGTATATTTAAATATATAATTTAAAAGATTTTTGAATCCATTAATTTTCTCTCAAAGCCTAATTAAATAGCATGTACTGAAGTTTGCAGTGTTTAAATTGGTTTCTCCGTCAAGTATTATTATTGAAAAATTCAATGGGCTAGACTTCAATGAATGGTCTGAGCATATCTATTTTCAATTAGGTGCACTAAATTTGTATATACTCTAATTACCGTTGAAGCGCCCACAACCATTACTGATAAGAGCTCCGAAGTAGAGGTAACTCTTCGTAGGGTATGTGAGCGATGAAATAGGTTGTGTTTGAATTTTATGAAATTAATCATGGCAGATAGCATTAAGGCTGCTAATGCAGAAGAATTTCTAAATAGAATCAAGGAACCATCTCCATTTGAAATTGCGAAAAAGTTTGTTGTGGAAAGTTTCATCAGCGAGCTCGCCACTATAAAAGTTCAACTGATTATGTCTCATCCCTAGTATAGTGTCTAACATGTTCAACATATTAGCTAAACTTACAAACATGAGAATAAATGCGATAGACTCATTATGGTTCAATTCATCATGAACTCACTACCTATCGAGCTGGGCCAATCCTAGGTGAACTATAACACCATTAAAGATAAATGCGACTGTAAGCAAATAAGGCTATGCTGGTGCAGGAAGAGGTGAGAATAAAAGAGATGAAAGAAGAGTCGATTCACTTTATATCCCATGAGGGAGCCAATAATAGTAAGATAAAGTAGGATATAACGGCAAATAAAATGATACTGGCTTACCTAATGTTTTTGCCGGTCTATCATAAAAGAAATAAGGTGTTATTTCTTTAAAAAGTTAGCCCACCTCATAAAAATTGTCCGAAACAAAATATTGATTCGAAAAGAAAACATGCATAAATTTCGTATGTTGTGAATCATATTTATTAAAGATTCCCAATAATAGGTGCTTGAATCTGTGCAACTACTTATGTATCTCATATTTATTTTGGGTGTTAAACGTAGTGCACATTGTTGTTATGTGATTGTTAACAACGATTATGGATATGATTACTTGATTGTTTTGGGTGATTTGAATGTAAAACATCCGAGCTGAACCGAGGTGAAAAGCTACAGTGAGCTGTTACGTGTTTCTTATGAATAAAAATGGTTCAGGGGGGATCCCTGTACAAGTATGTGAAATAACTATTTATAGTAACTTTTTGAGATACATATCGGGATTTGTGCGATGCTTTTTGAGAGTAGGCCGAGCGCGAGGGGCACGCAAGTGGGCATCACGCGGGCGGAAGCCTAGGCCTTGTGGGCCTAGGAATGGCGAGCACGCAACAGCACGCACGCGGGGGAGATAGCAGGCACACAGCGCGCACGATGGCGCACGATGATGCAGACACGGCGAGAAGGCTCAAGAACGCGGCGAGTCGCGCGTGGCATGCGCGAAGGAGGCTAAGTCGTCGTGCTGGAGAGGCACGATACGCGGACGGGCAAGCACGCGCGGGAGATGACGCGCGTTATATTATCGGGGACGAGCGCGAGTTTGATCGCGCAAGCGACGGGGTGCACGCGCGAACTTGCCTAGGCGCGCGAGGATTAAGCGAGCTGCTGGACGCGTGCGGTGGAATGGAAGATGAAGCCCTAGTGCTTGGGCGATTAGGAAGCACGAACTTGGAGTGCAAGCCAAGGCATTAGATTCCCTAGTTATTTGGTTTCCTTATTGCTTTATGATATCTAGATTGTTTAGGACACTTAATATTTTATTGCTTAATTAGAGCTATAGTTATATTAGGATTAGATCTAGTTGATGCCTATATAAAGGCCCTTCCTCTTGTTAATTTAATCATTCAGAAATCAATACAAAAATCTGAACTTTTGTTCAAACTCTTTGATCTAGTTTTCTTCTTGAATTCTTTTGCAACTTTATTCGTTAGAAAGGCTGCGAGTGTGCGACTTCCTAACACCTATCGAGCGATTTAAGGCGCGGGAGCGGCTTGTCGAC